CCTCACACACACGCGCGCACACACACATACACACAATCTTTTCAAACACATGTAAAGGTCTCTAATAAAACTTTGGTGACAGACATGAAGCACCCAGAAGAATTCCCAGTAATCAAAAGATTCTTGATGCCTGCGAGCCCCAGATGAAAGATACTGTCCTGTAGGTGGAAGGTCTGGGACTTGGGGAGTCTTCAGAAGCAAGAGGCTTGCAAATCTCTCTAACAATATGGCGGAGTCTCTTTTGTCTTCACCTTGCTTCATTTCCCTTCACCTTAGTTTATTCTTTTCTTCCCATAGCTCTTTTTCAATTTTTTTCAAAACTGCAAATTCACTATTGCCACCCAACCACCATACTACAAGTTGCAAAACCTTTCAGTGAGTGAGATACATGTCTTTCACCAATGTTTCAAAGATTTACTCATTGAAGGTGCTGAAGTAATACTAACCAGATATGGTGAAGTCACTGAGTGTAAACATTTTTTTCTTAGATAGAAATTCTGTGGTGTGGCTTTGAAATGTCATCAACATCTCATCTGTGTGAAATAGTAGTATCTTAAAATGTCTTTACAAATATTTTAGTAAAGAGAAAAACAACACTACTACTTCTATCTCCCTGACATGACTGAAGTAGTATTTAGTTTCCAGAAGAATTATAATGAGGAGGACCAAGATTATTATGTGTAAAGATATTGCAGAAGTAGTCTGCTGGCAGTGATGCCTCCCTCATTTGAATGTCTGTCAGCAGCTATGGAAATATCTTAAATTAGAAGCAGTCCAATCAACTGATGAATCTAAAGAGAAAATAAATCTATCAGCTTTAAAGAGAAAAATTACTAATAACTTTAATTCGAATATAGACTCTCGTAAAATAAATCAATATAAATTATAAAGTACTGAGTGGCTTTCTATTTTCATAAGCAAAAACTTAATAGTCACATATAACATTTTGGAAAAATATTCTACCATGAACATTATTAAGTTTTGTTTGTTTTCATCATTTTTTAAATTGATTTTAGAGGGGAGGGGGGAGAGAGAGAGAAACATGAATGGACCGGGGTCTGAACCCACAGCCTGGGTATGTGCCCTGACAGGAATTGAACCCACCACCTTTTAGTGGGTTCAATGGGGACAATGCTCCAACCAATGGAGCCACACTGGCCATGGCAAACATTCTTGTGGTTTTCTTAAGGGAGTCCAAAGCCCCAGATTTCCTAGTACCACCCAACCTTTTATTTATAGGTAAATGTAGTTGCTTATAACTATTTATGGATTATTCCTGTGGTTCCCTCAGGGATCAACGCCTCCAGGGGAGTTAAAAGGGGACAGCAGTCTTACCCAGTGGTAGTACTAACAAGAGTAAACCCTCGATTTTGTGGACCTCAATTTAACGGACTTCGGATTTAATGGACAAAATTTCCGGCTTATATGTCATATATGAACATTAACAACCTCTTGATTTTAAAGTGCTTTTAACCAGGATTGTCTTAAAATTAAATTAAGAGGCTACTTTTTTTGTTATTAATTCACTGTTATTTTAAAGAAATTTTAAGCGAATAGGCCATATGTTGGAAAAAACACTGTAGTAATTTTGCCAACATAAATAAATATTACATATCTACAACTATGGCCAAGATATTTAAAGCCAAGAGTCACCGCTGGTAAGCAATGTTGGGGAATGATTAGAATGTGAGAATTGGTTCTGTTGTCATGGGGTGTGTTTCTGCAGCTAAGCCACGCCCCAGCCGGTGTATGTGTTTACTTCAAGGTAACTGATGAATTCACACATTTACTAGACCTACTCAGTAGAAATGTAAAGTTACTGTAATAGATATAGAAAACTTTCCAGTGGAATTAAACTTTTCATACATACTTAATTTTAATTACACAAACATGTCTGCATAAGTAAAAACAGGTAAATTAACTTGTCATTTTTAAAGATAGGAATTCAGAAAACCTACTTTATTATATAACGGATTTTCAGCTTTGACGGACTCCCCCTCGCCCGAATTAGTCCATTATCTCGAGGTTTTACTGTACTTATTATTTATTGAGTGCTATGTCGTGTCAGGCACTGTTCAGAGCACTTACAGGTATTACTTCATTTAGTTTTCATAAAAACCTTTGGCGGTAAGAAGTATAATTGTTTGTATTTTAAACACCAGGACATTGAGGCACAGAGAAGGTAAGCACTTCCTCCTGGTCACACCAGGTTATGAGGGAGAGCAGAATTCAGACTCTGACATTCCGAGTGGAGTCCATGCACAGGCTAGTGATAACCACCAAACTCCTCCAGCCTCTGGGAGGCTGCACAGCTCATTAGATTGGAGATGAGACTCATTATATTTATTTACTTACTTATTTTCAATTAAACTAAAATGAGAAAAACACGAGGTATGCCTCAGGGGTTATATTTTATGTCAAAAATACAGTAGCTTTAGTTTTGACATTGGTGAGAAACTAAAAACATCACAAATATATATGATCACTATTTTAAAAATTCTGATTATCAAATATCAAGTAAGATCTTTCTTTTTTAATGGTAAGTTTATAATGTTGTCCCTGAGTAATTTTGTATATAGGTAATATAACTTTCAAGATGTTAAAAGTACAGCTATATTAATAACCTGATGTATTAAATGGTATAGGTCAAACCTGATGATTTGAATCTTGTTCTGTTGGAATTTCACTGTATCAAGTTTTGATGTACAGAAGCCAGCCACTGAAATGAGCATGTTGAACAGACAGTTCTGGCCTGCTAGCCCTGGTGGCATGAGATTGGACCCCCTGCTTACTGGCTTTAAAACTTGCCTGAATATTTTACACCAACCATGATTTAGTCATGAAACCACACATTTTTTCCTATTCCCTAAATAAGATGTACTAAATTGGTCTACATGTCAAGGGGGAGATACATGGTCTCAAAGGGCATATGAGAAATCCTAGGGGATAAATACTCCAATTTGTTTCCTGGTAAGAAATATCCCTCATCATAAATACCACTGTGAAGACACAAGGTTTCTAATGAGGTTGTGCTGTTCACCTCAAGAATGCTGGTGCTGAGAAAGGTTGAAAACTACTGGTATTGCTAATGCAAAGATAAAGAAATTTCCTGCCACTAAAGGCAAAGTATATTTGAAGCATTTTCATTTTTGCAACTTTTCTTGAGAAGGTTCCAAAGGGACTTTTTCTTGCTTCCATATCTAAGGGGTTGCTTCTCAGGTACATTTTGGGAGAAATTATATGCCTATAAATTTCTTCTCTGAAAAACATTTAAATAAACTAGTAACTAATATCCAGTTATTTTATTAACAGCTATTACAGAGGTTTGCCAACTATCTTACCCTTTTCGCATTAAAATTTGTTTGTTTAGGAAAGGGAATGGTTTTTTCTTTTTTAAAGCTAATAAAAAATTGGCTGTCTATTTAAAAGATACCAATATGCTCTTCATTCTAATAAAGCAAATGCCTGGCAAACCCAGCATACTTCTGCCTATCTTCCCCAGATAGCGCCTACAAGGCAGTCAGACTGCAGAAATGCTGTCTACAGTGTTGGTTGAGAGACAATATATTTCTAGATCAAGTGACAATATAAAAAAGCAGCATACGTGGGTCATGAAAGAATGTTCTCATGAATTGTATTTTGACGTTGGGCCTTTTGATTACATTAAAATACTAAAAGCACCGCGTTTCAAAGTCTGCTATTACATTTACCGAAAGATATTGTAAGACAACTGACTGTTCACTGGGTCACTCAGTGGTCTTCATTTAAAATCCCGGCGACAAGTTTCCTTTATATTAAATGCTGGGAAAAGCTATTCTCCTCTTCAGAAGAGCTAGTGTTTTTCCGCCGTTAAGGACAACATTTAGCTCAGTGTTGCTCAGCAGGGTGTTACGGCATTTTGGGCAAATCAATTGTTGGCAAGTGGGATGTCCCCCTCCCACCACAGCCATTTAGCATCCCTGGCCTCCAGACATTAATGCCAGTCAGGCACTCAGTCATTGTGACCTCCCAAACTGCCCACACACATGATCAAATGTATGAGTAGAGAACACACTAAATAAATTGTTTACTTGCTTTGTTCTGTCTACCAGGCAACGCAATTAAATTTGTCCTTAAAAAAATATCTGGGTAAGACCATTATGTCCTATATTTCTACATCCTAACTTTCTCCCACTCTTGAACTTCCAATTTAAGTTATATTTCCCTTGGTCCCGAGTTTCACTTTCTATTCTGATTTTATCATTAAGACAATCCAAATTATTTTAGGAGCCCGATGAGGTACAAATAAATGAAGATCCCTTGGCAGTACAGAGGCATTACCCCTTTCATTCTTAAAAGTAATGCTAACTTGAAACAAACCACTGGTATACAAAATATGCATTTTTAACTCCTACACATAAAGTGGTAGAAAAACTACTCCTCAGACACTTAGTTCTTAGGAATTAATAAAGGATAATAAGCCAAAAAGAAGAAAATATTTTTTTAAACCTTTGATGAAAGTTACTATCTGTAAATAAATTTCACATTTATCTAAAACTTTATTTCTATATAATATCAATTTTAAGCGAGAAGAGCCCACAGACAGTTTTTTATTACCTTTAACATTATAAAAATCCTTTTACTAAAAAAAATAAATAAATTCTATATGAACCTAGTTTTTGCGTTTCTTCATTTTAGATGAAAAATTTTGGAGGAAATTTGGTTTGGGTTCTGATTTAACTGCATGATTCCCTCAGATTCCTCATTGATTGGCAAACTTTTATTGAGGGAAATGATTAAGTAGCTCAATAATTTTAGACATTTAGATATTGATTTGTCTTTTACTATAAAACATCTTCAGTGACTCCAGTGCCCCAAGTAATGTTCTGTTTTTTACACTTACTTGTATGTCACTTATAATCTTAGTAGCTACTTTTGAGGGGTTGCTTAGTGAAGATCTTATTAACTTCTGTGAAAATGAGATAAAAACTGAAGATGACATTATGCTATATGCTTCTTACCTTAGATGTGCAAACAGCTATGTTAGCAGGAAGCTGGGAAAACTGCTTCAGTTCAAATACATCACGTGCTGCCCATCGGCTCATGTGATTCTCAGCTTTGCTTGATCCAATCACATTCTGGTTTGAGTGAATGTAAGCCACTTCCTGAACGCCATCTAGAGGTAATCGATGTTTATTCAGTGATGTCTCATTAGAAAGCAATATGGTTCTACTTATACTTTAAAAATTATCAGCAATACACTAAAAGTCAGTTAAGCTTGTTTTGTTTTTAATCCTCAAGAAAAATATTCAGTTTGTCTGTTAACATCATAATAGTCATTTAAAAAAAATTAAAAAGAGAAAGAGTTCAAATATGTTGGTCTAGGTTAACTTGGAAGGACTTTTCCCTCTCGTCAATATGAGAACTTCTAAGATTAGGTAACAATCTTTTTAGACTTAAACCTGAAATGAGAGTTTTGGCCAACAGAAAAGTCGTGGTGAAGGGTCGTTTCTATGAATTTGTTGTTCCAGTTGATTTAAAATAAAATATTTTTATTGATTTCAGAGAGGGAGAGGGAGAGATAGAAACATCAATGAGAGAGAATCATTGATCAGCCGCCTCCTGCACGCCCCACCAGGGAGTTTCGTTTGGTTGGCTTTGTTCAGTTTTACTGTTTGTATTCTGACTTTTTTGTACATATGCCCAGAGAATGTCAAGATTGGAAGCTTTTTAGGAAATGAAAAAAATTAAGTTACAGCTTTTATCTGAAAGAAGTTTAAAAAATGGCTACATTTTTTATTGCTTTGCTTCTAGGCACCTATAATTTACTTTAAACTGTGGTCATAAAAGAGAAGGCTAGAACTAAGGTCTGTAAAAGCTCTCTCCAACAGCTCTGGCAATGAACCTCGATTATGACCTTCAACACTTGTGCTGTTTCAGTCCTGAACTTCTCTCAACCAGACTCGCCAATCATGCGAAAACAAGATGTTAAATAAGATGACTGAAAGAGCAACTAAGATAGTATTCTCAAGTTTCAAAGCACCAGGGAGTGTGTATGGCAATAGTTTAAAACCTTCCAAAGCCCTAGCCGGTTACTCAGTGGTTAGAGCATCAGCCAGTGGACTGAAGGGTCGAGGGTTCGATTCCAGTCAAGGGCACATACCTGGGTTGCAGGCTCAATCCCTGGCCCCAGTTGGGGCACGTGTGGGAGGCAACTAGTTAATGTAGCTCTCACATTGATGTTTCTCTCTGTCTCTCCCCCTCCCTTCCACTCTAACTGAAAAATCAATGGAAAAAAAAATATCCTCAGGTGAGGATTAACCAAAAATAAATTAAATAAAACCTTCAAAAGGATTCTTCTGGTAGAAAATTTAATCAGATTTTTCTTAATTTTGATGATAAATTTTATGCCTTACTCAAAATAGCATTAGTTACACACTAGCTCTTCACATCTTTTGGACAATAAAATCCAAACAAAACAAAAAAACTCAGCTGATTAAAAAAAATAGTTTATGTAATAATTCCTCAAACATAAAATCTAGTTGTAGCACACAAATCAAAGGATAGCCCAGTAATTAGTTCAGCAGTTCTCAACCTGTGGGTCGTAACCCCTTTGGGGGTCGAACGACCCTTTCACAGGGGTAACCTAAGACCATCGGAAAACACATATATAATTACATACTGTTTTCATGATTAATCACTATGCTTTAATTATGTTCAATTTGTAACAATGAAAATACATCCTGCATATCAGATATTTACATTACGATTCATAACAGTAGCAAAATTACAGTTATGAAGTAGCAACGAAAATAATTTTATGGTTGGGGGTCACCACAACATGAGGAACTGTAT